CAGGCTCAGGACCCCTGACAAAACCATACAAAAATGCACGACCAAACGCGGGCGCTCCTCGATCATGCTGAATTCGTTTTGGACAGCGACAGCGGGGATGCGCTAATATTGCCCGCTCTTGAACTCAATGGGGTCGGCCTCCAAGCTCCGATGCTGCCTCATGTGTTGGGACGGCGGGTTGGAGTGAGCGGTGCGGCTTGCGGCTTGGGGCAGTTGGGCCACTGTTCTCTATCACTCAACAACCCCTCCCCCGCCCGACCAGCAGCCAGGCGGGACCCATGGCAACACCCCCATCACCATCCCCAGCAACACTTTGCCTGCGAGTCTGGAGCATGTGCGGGCGCCCCGCGAACACTTCGCATTCGTTTATCTATCGTCCAACCATCCCTGTGCAACAAAAACATTACAAAGCACACTTTGTCGCCATATCTTGAGCATGCGCGGGCGCCCCGCGACCACTTTGCACTGGTTTCGACAAGGACGGCAGAAGGTGCCCTCATATTGCTTGCTGCGCGCAGGGCCATCATCCCTGTCAAATCATATTGCAAAGTGCACGCTGTCCCTACACATGGCGCGTTGGGAGGGCGAGTGGGGGTGGGAGTGACCGAGACAGCTTGCGCCTTGTGAGCAGGAGGTGCCTTGATCACTCCCTGTTAATAGAAAACCCCATCCCCCAACTGACCAGCAGCCAACCCGGACCCATGCGGGCATCCGTGCGCCCCCCTCCCCCCGCCGTCCCTGCCAACAAAACAATAGAAAAGACACGTTGCCTCCAAATGTGGGGCATGCGTGGGCGCCACGTGGCAACAGTGCACTGGTTCTTGACAGGGGCGGCGGGAGTGCCCTCATACTGCTTGCCCTGTGCAGGCCAACACCCCCCCACCATCCCTTGCAACAAAAACTCGAATGCAAAATGCACTTTGCACGAAAATCTGGATCACGCGCGGACGCCCTGCGATATCTGTACATTCGTTTTTGACGGACGGCGGGGGGGCACCATACCGTGTTCTGTGCGCAATGCCCACACACACCAACCATCCCTAGCAATACATACAATACAACATAACTACACTTTGCACAAACATCTGGATCATGCGCGGGCGCCCCGCGTTCCCGTTGCATGTGTGTTTGGCCGGATGGCGGAGGTGCTGGCTTATTGCCTGCTGCGGGCAGGCCCTCCATCCCTTTCAACAGCAAAACCATGTTCATTTTGCCAGGGACGGCGGGGGGGGCGGGCGGCATACTACCTGCTGTGCGCAGGCCCACCATCCCTGTCAATGAACAAATCCAAAGCGATCGTGGGTGCACACTGGCACAAAACAAACCCGCCGTCACTTTGCAATCGTTTTGGACAGGGACGTTGGGAGGATCGACATGTTTTTCAGCAAAGCTACCGCGCTGATGATGGAAATTGCAAGCTTCCCCACTGAGGGAAAGGGGACTCCACTATGCTGTAACCGCCAGTCCCGAAGGAGCACGAAGCACGGAATCCGAGGAAGGATGGTGGGCAGCGTGGCTGCTCGAAACGGATGTCACGCACGTCGGCTATCTAAAACGCTGGCCCATGCCAGAAATTGAAATGCGCCCGCCACAGGAGGAGGAGGAAAGGGGGAAAAGGGACAAAGACGTTGTGTCTGCGCGTTCCCCATGGCCTCAAGTGCCATTTCTATAATACTGCACAGTCCAACGACATTTCTGGAGAAGCCAAGCAGTACACAGACGAACGTTGAATCCCATGGAGACCACACGTGATAGAACCATACCAGGATCTCTATCACGCTGAAGGTGGGGGCCAGGAGGGGAGGAGAAAAGACAGAATAAGGTGCTTACAACTGGGACGTTACATATTGGGTGCACATACTCACCAATAACTCATGCTTGTACTGGAGGCGGGCACTGCGGCTCCCGGCCAACGCGTCGCTGCTCCGCAGCGGCTGGCAAGAGCGAGACTGGACGGCTAAAGCGGCCCAGGGAGGGTCGCGATATTCTCTAATGTGGCGCACCCGGTGCGCGTGGCTCAGCTGGCATGTGCGGCGCACCTCGCGGGCTTTGCGCACCTGGCTGGCGTCTGCATTAGTTCTCGATGGTTGTCCATAGCGGCCCGTGTACATGCCTCCTCTTACCTCTGACCTGTCTGCGGAGGAAAGGTCCACCTGAGGGCCTCCGCAAAACAAGGACAGGGGAAGAGAACCCGAGCGGCCTCCACCAAGGCACGTTTGCGAACCCCCGACGCGGGGCGCCAGGCCCGCCGAGGTCCGCGACAGGAGGCGGCGCAGCCTGCCCCGAGCATGCAGGCCATGCCTTTCCTCCTCCTTTCGCCTCCTCCTTCCGGAGGCGGCCCCCCCCCCCGACGTCGCAACGTCTTCGCGACGTGGCACCCGGGGTCTGGACCCTTATTCCGCCTGACCGGCTTTTCGGCCCGAGCCGTTTTCTGACAGTCCCAGGGCAAGCCCTCGTCGATGTCGTCGTCGTCGTCGTCGTGGTCGTGGTCGTGGTCGTGGTCGTGGCCGTGGCCGTGGTCGTGGTCGTCGTCGTCGTCGTCGTCGTCGTCGTCGTCGTCGTCGTCGTCGTCGTCGGTCGTCATCCATTGTCGTCGTCGTCGCCGTCGCCGTCGTCGTCGTCGTCGTCGTCGGTCGTCGTCCATTATCGTCGACATCGTCGTCCGTCGTCGTCCGTCGTTTGCCGTCCATCGTCGTCGTCGTCGTCGTCGTCGTCGTCGTCGTCGTCGTCGTCGTTGCGTCGTCGTCGTCGTCGGTCGGTCGCCAACGCGCGCGCGCCAGGCTCGTCAGGGCCTCAGGCCCGACGCCCAGAGGTCGAAGACGTTGAGAAAGCGGCCGTGAGTCTTGACCGCGAAAGGGGTCAAAGTCATGAGCGCGGAGGACATCGGGGAAGGATGACCACGGGGGGGGACCAAGGTCATGCTGGGGGCCCGGGGAAATCTGACCGCGAGAGGGGTGAAGGTCATGTGGGGTCGCTGGGAAATCGACCGCGAGGGGGGTGATGGTCGCGCCTGGATGCGCCAGGGGGAAAAATTAACCGGGCGAAGGACCCAACCATATGCAGCTGTGAGTGCCGCACTTGTAAGTACCGTCTTCGGTGGAGCTCCCTGTGGGGCCACGAACCATGTGAGGGGTGCGCCGAAATGAAGGTGGAACTGCATGCGAACGCTGCCGCTGGGGACTTCGGTGGGGCTCCCTATGGGGCCACGGACCGTGTGAGGGGTGCGCCGAAATGAACATGGAACTGCATGCGAACGCCGCCACTGGGGCCTTCGGTGGAGCTCC